AAAATGGTTGCATGTTGACCAATTCTTTTTGGTACAGGGACTCCATGTATTCTACCTTCTTTTAATGCTTTCAGAATTGTTCAGTAATTTGCCCATAGAATTCTTCAATATTGCAACTCAAGGCTTGAATTTTTTCTTTAGTTTTTTCAGCTTTCATGCTGCATGTTAAAACAAAGAAACCTTTATTGAACAAAAATATAAAAATGTGAAGATATTTTTTCTCCACATAGTCTCCATGTATGGCTATATATTTCTGAAGGTAGAGTTTCCATCTCTCTAACCCTTCCATAAAGAATTCTGTGCTCTTAGATTTATACCACACCAAAGCAGAAGTTTTGGAATCCTCAAGGGATTAAAAAATCATGTTCCTTTTCAAAATTTTTTGAATCTGGGGAACAAAGAAGTCTGAAGGGGTAAGATTAGGGCTATAGCGTGATGGCATGAAGTTTCTTAATTAAATTCTCCTATGACAGCCCTTGCTACCCTAAAGAATGAGCAGGAATATCAGGATGGGGAAAAAATTCTCGGTACAACATTCCTCGCCTTTTCTCTTACCAATGCAATTTTCACTTTTCTTAAAAACTGAACTGTAATGAAAGAACATTTGTTGTTTCACAAAATCAATTAAGATTACCCCTTGGGAATCCCAAAGTCACCACAATCTGGGCTGGCTTCTTTGCCTTTCTGCCGGTATATGCTGGGTTTAATATACCATCAGAAGCCACTGTTTTGAATGGTCTTTGCGCTCTGGATCATATTGAGATGTCCAAGACTCATCCCCAGTTACAATTCATTCCAAAAAAATCATCTTCATTAACTTTCATCTTGCTTAAAAGAATGTTGGAAATATCAACTCTTTTATAGCTAGCAGATCTTCACAGAATGCTTTTGGCACCCATTAAAATAAAAGCTTGCTGAGGTCAAGGTGTTCACTTATATTGAAAATGTCAAGCCATGTGAGATCCCAACTTTAATAGTGATGGCATCACTGGTAATTCTACTGTCTTATTCCACCGGTTTCTGGACGTTAGCTAGTTTATTAATTTGTCAAAGTTGTTAGGTCTTCACACTCTTGGCTCATTTTTCAAACCCACCAGCTGCTCCTTGGAAACCTTATGCAGGGTCGCTATGGGTCGGAACCACAACTCAACGGCACTTAACAACAACCTTCCTTTCTTAAAAGGTTTCAATCATTTATAAACTGTTGTTTTATGTGGGGCAGAATTTCTGTAAACTTGTGACAAAAGCTTCAATGATTTGGGAAGATGTCCACTGTGTATTGTTTAAAAAATTGATGTTAGCCCTGGCCTCAAACTCATTTTCTAACATGGCACAAAGGGTATCCTGTTTTTTGAAGTCAAGCTAATGAGACTTAAACAAGTTCATTCTCTATTACTGAGAGAACTTGTATGCAGCCCTCCACGGATTACAGAGACATGTTTATAAACAAATTTTGTTTAGAATAAACCCGTGCATGTATGAACTGGAACCCAAGTGACAATAATTTTTGACTTACCTTTGTATCTCCCTCAATTGTCAAAGAATGTGCCTTTATAAAGAATGAAGCAAAGAATTAATTTGGTCTCATTATCTTCTGGACTGTGAACCGCAAGGTCTGCAGTTCAAACTCACCAGCTACTCCTTGGAAACCCTACACAGGGTCACTTTGAGTCAAAACTGACTTGAAGGCATTTAACAATAATAATCTTCCTCAATGATAGGGAGATTTAGAAATTATTATGAATATAGCTAAAATTCACATTCTATTTTACTGTTCCCCTTTTTTCTCCCCATTCCTAAAGAATATTTCTACATGAAAAGAAGAAAAACTCTTTCTCAGTAAAATAAGCTAAAATAGAGACTGATAACACATTACCTCCTTTCTGAATTTCACTCCATCGAAACTGATGGCGCCTCACAACAGAGAAAACAGAGTCATATCCTTCTTCTCGAATCATGTCTGCAACTTTTTGAAGATCAGTAGGATGTAAACATGGAGAAGTAGCTTGAATATTTCCTACAATGTCAACCTCTTAAAAAGATGAAGAAATGAAAATATCAAAATAAAGTTTATGAAATAAAGTGATAATTTGCTTTATGTAAACAGAGTTATCTTATCCTAAACACTAATGGTCACCTTATTAAATGCTAGAAACTTATGAGCACTGTCTCTCTGTCTCTCTCTCTATATATACAAATGTTGTTGTGAAGTGCTGTCAAGCCGGTTCTGACCCATAGCGACCCTGTAGACGGTTTCTGAGGAGCAGCTGGTGAGCTTGAACCACCAACCTTGCAATTCAAATGGCTTTGCAGTCTGGCGCATTAACCCACAGTGCTACACCAGGACTCCATACACATATACACACATATATTTACTAATGCCTATCACTTTGCCTGGAGCTATTGCTCTTAGAAGTAGCTTGTCTAGTTTCACATGATTATATTTATGAGAACAGGCTCACTGAAACACTTGAAACTTGTTCTTTCAGAAAACAATTGAAGAAGATTAATAAACATGTCCTGTTTCAGAGATGCCAGGGGTCTTATAACCATGGCTTATGATCTTGTGATTGTCTCAGTAAGGTCCCTATTTATGCTTTGATAATGTTTGAGCACATAATCCTCTCTATAAGTTTATATGTCTGACAGAACTGTCAACAATTAAAAAATTTAATGTCCATATAAGTACCCTGAGAAAATTCATCAGAGTATGATTACTCTGTAGTGATATGTTGTCCATCTTTAAATTACTCAGTAGTGATATGTTGTCCAACTTTAAATTTGTTTATTACACCTACATAGCATTCTGGTAATTGTGATCTGGGTTGCTGAATTTGGAAAAGTTCTTATCACACAACTCATACTAAGATCTTAAATCCAATTGTTAAAATAAGTATTTAGAAATGAGAAATAAGTAGAAATTACATAATATTTAAAATTAACTACTAATAAAAGTCATACCATTGTGATAATTAAGAAATTCTATGATGGCATCTAGAGAGGTAGAGCTGTCTTTCGAAACTTCAGAACTTCTTCGATGAACTTGTGCACCAAATTGTTTGGCCACATTCTCAATTTCTTCATGGTCTGTTGAAACCCATACACTGTTCAAATATTATAAAATAATAAAAAATAAACAAGCAGTCAAATCATCAAAAATAATTAAAAGTAAAGGGGCTTTGCAACCCAAGAATATAGCTAACATAATATTAAAATAGACTTGTACCATAAAAATGCTATACATAAAAATACAAAACTTCAGAAAAGTTCATTATAAATCATTTTTATATACATGTATTTTTAAATTCAGGAATCAAAAATGTATTATTTATATGTACGCTATTGTTAAGTGCTATCAAGTAGATTCCGACTCATAACTACCCTGAATAATACCCAGAGTGGCTGGGTATTATATATATATATATTAATACAGGATACATGAATACACAAAAACTAT